GAACCCAGATCCCTCTGACTTTGGAACAGATACTCTAAGTCATTTCCCACAGAAAAATAGAGCCAGAAGAATACTCTGTCAGTAGTTGAATTGTACTGGCCCAAGTGTGATGCTAAAAGTGTCAGATGTGAGCATTTCTGTTACTAGAATGGCTTATTCTGTTGTGGGGCAGCCAGCATGACTGCTGATTCTTGAGTGGAAGTGAGGTGTGAGTGAGCACATGGGGAGCAGTGAGATGTGTCCACACGGAGGGCTAATCCTGATGAGGCCCCAGGTGAATCGCAGCCTCCAGGCTCTGTGTTCCTCAAGGGCAAGGTGCTCCTAGCACCTAACCCACGGCTCTAAAGAACACTGCCGAGTGTTCAATTAATGACAGAAGCTCAAAGCACAATGGTCATCATCTAGGCCAACCCTTAGGTCACACAGACACTGTAACTGGTTCCACTTAAATTCGTGACCACACATATCAAGTGGACCCTCATGTTCCCTGGCAATCTGACAGCACATCTCAAATATGTTTACTCTCTGATTTCATGTTTTCTTCCAAATGTCCAGCACATTTGCCCGCTCCTCACCCTAGGCTGATGACCTTGTGTAGCTGACCTCTATTGGCTTTTGGTTCCCCAGGATTTGAACATGTTTGTAATCCACCATTGTGTGGGTCTTAGTGAGAGGCAAACAAATAAATAAAAGGGTTCCAGGGTCACTGTCACCCACCCTCAGCACTTGGACTCATGCAGATGACCTAGAGTTGGCCAATCTGGTGCTCCCAATCAGGGCTTCAACTTCTAAGCTAGTGATCCCAAGGCTCAGGACTCCTTAGAGATTATTCACAGTGTGGGCATCACGGGGTGGTCCTGTGCTGGCAGCCCTATAGGAAGGGTTTTCACCAGACTGTTCTAGTCTGTGCCAGTCCTGAGGCATCTGAAGATGGTTCCCCAATTTTTATTTATAGCTTTTACCTCTCTGTTGAGCTCCAAACTTGTATATTCAGCTGTTCACTTGGTAGTTCCATTTGGACAGGTAATAGGCATCTCAGATATTACATGACCAAATCAAAACTTTTTATCTTTCTACAAAACTTCATACTTCCCAAGTCTTTCTTATTTAGTAAACGGCACCACCATCTACTCAGTGACTCAAATAAAAAACTCATGAGTCATCCCTGATTCCTTTTTCCTCTTAATGTTTCCATCCAATCCCTCATGAGTCCTGTTGGCTCTATCTTGAAGTATATGCCAATCTTGTTGCAAATATGCTAGCACCTGGACTTCTGCAAAAACCTCTGTGGTAGGCCAGATGGCCCCCTAAAGATGTCTACGTCCAAATACATGGAACTTGTGAATATGTTACCTTACATATTTAAAGGACTTTGCAAATGTGATTAAATTAAAGATTTTGAGATGGAGAGAGATTATTTTGATTATACTGATGAGCCCAATGTAACCGTAAGGGTCTTCATAAGATGGAGGTAGGAGCATCAAAATCAGTAGCAGGTGGCTGGGAGAGGTGGCTCAGGCCTGTAATCCTAGCACTGTGGGAAGCCGAGGCGGGAGGATCACTTGAGATCGGGAGTTCGAGACCAACCTCAGCAAGAGCGAGACCCCCCCATCTCTACTAAAAACAGAAATAAATTAGCCAAGAAACTAAAAATAGAAACAAAAAATTAGCCAGGTGTGGTGGTTCACACCTGTAGTCCCAGCTACTCGGGAGGCAGAGGCAGGTGGATCACTTAAGCCCAGGAGTTTGAGATTGCTGTGAGCTAGGCTGATGCCAGGGCACTCACTCTAGCCTGGGCAACAAAGCGAGACTCTGTCTCAAAAAAAAAAAAAAAAAAAAAAAAAGTCAGTAGCAGGAGATACAGCAATGGAAGCAGCAGGTTGTAATCACTTGTCAAAGGAATGCAGGCAGCTTCTAAAAGGGTGAGGAAACAAATTTTCCCCAGAAGTTTCCAGATGGAATGCAGGCCTACAAACACATTGATTTTAGACTTCTGACTTCCAGATCCATAAAAGAATAAATTTATGTTGTTTTAACTCACTAAGTTTGTGGCGATTTGTTACAGCAGCAATGGGAAGCTAATACAATCCCCTAACTGGGCTGTGCATTCCTGCTTTGTCTCTCTGCAGTGCAGTCTCCACACTGCAGACAGAGAGATCTTTTAAAAATGTAAATCAGATTGTCACTGTCCTGTTTAAAACTTCCTTAACAAGAACCTTCTCTTTGTATCTGGAACAAAATCCAAGCTTATCATGGCCATAGGCCCTAGGTGATCTGGTCACCGGCTACCTCTCCATACTCCTTTGCTCCTTGTTCCACATGCCCTCACCACCCCCACTTCATCTCCCAGCCTTGTGGGCACAGGGCAACTTGTTTTCCCTTTGGAGCTCTTGCTCTAGCCATTCCCTCTGTCTGAGAAACTGTGTCCCCAGATCTTTGGATGGTTGGTCCCTTTAGCTTTCAGCTCAAAGGTCTCCTCTTCAGCAAGAACTCCCCTGACCCCAACCCAAAGCAGTACCCTTGTCACTGTCATTTATATCATCCTGCTTAGTTTTCTCCACAGCACTCATTATCTGAAGCTATACTTCTACTTGTTTGCTTGTCGATTGTTTATTTCTTCCCTGCCTTTTTAACCCAAGTTCCAGGAAACCAGGACAAGGGCAGGGCTTGTCATATCCCGCAGTTCCCCCAACCCTTACAACAGTGCCTGGCACAGGCTAAGAGGCACTCAGCAAAACCCGTTGCGTGATTGAACGATTGGCTTTACCGAGGGCTCAGAGTTCAAGTTGGCTACTAGCAGAGCACGGCCCAAACCAGGGTATCTTGGCTGGATCCAGAGGTGGAACTAAGACTGGGCTCCAGTCTCCCGTGCTGGATCTGCTGGTCGGCATTTAGGGCCATGCAGTCTGGTCGGGAGGAGAATTCAAAGAACCTTCAAAGGAATTTATTACAATGATGACAATGATAATGAAAAAAAAGCAATAGCTAATGCTTATTGTGCACTTTCTATGTTTCAGACACTGTACTACATGTTTAATATAAAATTTCATGTTCTCTTCATAACCACACTGTGAAGTAGATACTCTTATTATCCTCACTTTAAGGATGAGGAAACCGAAGCACTGAACTCTTAGGTAATATACAGCTGACTACACACAACTATAGGTTTCCATCACATCTTTCTTTTGCTCTCACTCCTCCACACTGACTGGGGTGAGAGGACTTCTGGTCTGTGACATCACAAACCAGCCCCAGCGCCCAGCCGGTCCTTTTTCCCCAGGACAGGCGGGTAAGCCCTAGGACGCGTGCGCGAGGCAGAAGGGGCGGGGAGAAGAGGGCGGAGGCAGGGATTGGTGGAAGAGAATCGGAGCCTAACAGCGGAAATCCCGCCGAGCCGAGGCCAAGCTTCCGGCTCTAACCGCTTAGCTTTACGCGGGCCTAGCGGAGCCAGCACCGCTGGGATGGTCCTCCTGGAGAGCGAGCAGGTATAGCCACACCTAGCCGGCCGAGGGGCGGATGCAGTTCAGGGCTTAGATCCAGACTTCTGTCTCCTTTTGCGGGTGGGGCGGGGACTTGACGCGGCGGGGCGAGGATTTGGGGCTAACAGGGCCTGGTTTGTTGTGTTCCAGTTCCTGACGGAGCTGACCAGGCTGTTCCAGAAGTGCCGGTTGTCGGGCAGCGTGTTTATCACCTTGAAGAAGTGTAAGCAGCTGTCGTCGCGGCAGGGCCGGAAGGAGGCTAGGAGAGGGCGCCTCGGAAGCCGAGCGATGCCCGGCCCGGGTGCCCAGTGTCTAGGAGTCACTGGGGTCTCTTTGCCGCAGACCCCCGCGTTCCCCTATCTTTTTCTACCTCGTTTGTGCTGGGCACATTCGGGGCTTAGGGTCCGCAGACTATTAGGGATTGTGGCTTGTGCGGCCCCCAGCACTTAGCTACCTAGGTCGGTTACAAGAGGGCTGGAGCATGTCAGGGCTTTTCTTTTTGTCAGGGATCCCAAACCCCGCCACGATTAGTGAGGTGTATAGTATGCTTTGATGTTACAGTGTTTCTCCAAGGTTTGGCCAAACCGTAATCGGGGATGATGTCGTTAACAAACAGACAAACATTTAAAATAGAGGAGGGACAAGAAGGGGTGACCTAATCCACGCCCACGGCTCTAGTTCTATCGGCAAGGTGTGTGTGTGTGGCCGAGGCTGTGTTCACCAGGATGTGTTTTCCATGCAGATGATGGTCGCACTAAACCCCTTTCAAAGAAAGGTTCTACGGAGGGCTTTGAGCCCTCAGACAACAAGTGTCTGTTGAGAGCCACTGATGGGAAAAAGAAGATCAGCACTGTGGTGAGTTGTTCCATTCCTAAGGCTACATTTTGGAGTTTAAAGACTTGAACGTAACTGAGGATGGGGCATATCTGAACAAGGATTTTTTTTTTTTTCCTTTTTAACATAAAGGCTATAGTGTAGTTCCCTGGCTGTTTTGGGACCAGGACCTTCCTTTACTACTTTAGTAGTAGAAGCCTCAACAGTAAAATTAAAATGAAGGAGGTAGAGGTCACTTACTCGTTTTGCTAAAATTTTTGTGGAAATAAAATTTGCATGTTGGTCCATACTCATAGTACTGTAAGCAGTTGCATAAATGTTTGATTCCTTATCCCCTTACTGTGCTGAGCTTTCAATAAATGGTTTCTTGGTACCAGATGATGCTTTTACTTTTGAGCTATTATTCCCTTATCCTTGTGGTTCACATAGCACGCATATGGCTATATGTTAGGCTTTGTATTTGATAAAATATACATTTGGTCAAGAGCCCTAGTCTTTCCTTTGGGTGGAGGGGGAATATGGCAAAGCAAGAGACTCCCTGGATTCTGAGTGAGTATTGCTTTATTCTCCTGTGGCAGAACCAGACTGCCCTCTAATCACATTAGTGTAGGATATTCAGGAGAATGTAGATTATAATTGGTTGATAAGCCTCCCTTTATAAGTTTCCTTGAGGAGACTTTTACAGTAAAGTAAGCTTATGTGATTTTTAAAATTAAGTTGGATACCATGAAACATGAAAACCTAAGGAATCTTCTTCAGAGGTAGAATTTCTTTTGTGGTAGCTTGCATTGTGCTTAAATAGGCCTGAATTAACGGAAGGCAGGTTAAAAAAGAAGATGGGGAGGAAGTAGTTTAAATGTATCCTGCACAAAAAAATTAATACTGAGAAGTCCTTTGACATCTCTCAGAACCCAGGGAGAAAATTATGCCATCTATATAAGGGATTTCAAGAGGTGAGAAACACAGCTGCTTTAGGAATCCACAGCTTGGTGCAATTCTCATGTGGAAAAAGATGCAGAGCTACTTTGTTGTTCCCTAGGCAGGGGGAAGTGGAATAGAAAAATAGCTGCTATTGTGTTACAACCCCTGAAGTTGGGAAGAAGTATTTTAACATATTGACTGCCACACTAGAAAAAAATTTTTTTCCTTGGGGCCATGGTGTTTTATTATGCAAATAGAATAAAAACTTCAAAAAGATCCTAATTTAATGAAAAATTTGTTATTTTTTTGTTTTCTGTGAGTTATATGCTACTTGAAAAATAGTTCTCGCGGCTCCCAAGGTGAAGAGACACGTGAATTACATATGCTTCCTGAGTTAACTACAACTCACGTGGCAGTTAATGTGTTACAGATTAGGATGTTGTCTTCATGAGGCTTTTGAGATACTATCTAGGGTAGAACAGAGGATACCTGTATAGATAACAGGGGTGACCTCTTTTGTCCTCCTTTTCTAGGTGAGCTCCAAAGAAGTGAATAAGTTTCAGATGGTGAGTTTCTGGTGTTCCCTGTGTTCCCCTTCTCAGGGCAAGAGTCAGCACAGTATTGAGTACTGGGTAAGATTGATATTTGGGTTCACTGCTCTCCTGCGGTAAGTTTTACCAGTATTTTTCAAGTAAAAGCTGTCAGGTGTGAATTTCAACACCAATATTGTCTTCCTTTCTCATTTTTTAACCTTGTTTGTTGTCTTAGGCTTCAGATGTGCTCTACCTATAGTATAGTTGAACAAGAAGTTGCCAGCGGTTTTCCCTTAAAAAAAAAAGTAAAAATTGTGCAACTCTCTGTGGGCAAGTGTTGTAGAAGCTGCTATACAAAAGAATGTTTTATGTTTATACCATTTTCCAGTACAAGTATCCCATGGTCTTATATTCTTTATCGGGTGGGCTTTCTGATTTTGGCTTCCCATTATGGAAATAGGGCCGCTGTTCCACCAGTGTGCATCTCTTCCGGCTAAGGTCATGTTCTGTGTCTTTCAGGCTTATTCAAACCTACTGAGAGCTAACATGGATGGGCTGAAGAAGAGGGACAAAAAGAACAAGAATAAGAAGAGCAAAGCAGCACAGTGAAGGACACTGAGTTTCCTGCTTTCACCACCTAACCCCTGAATTGCTATTTTTCCTTTGGTTTTTACTTTTGGCCACAAAGCTAGGTTTCTGGTTCCCCCACACTAATTGTTTTCATGTGAGATTAGGGTCATTTTGTAGAAAAGGGTTGCAATGTTTACAGGGTAGTTGTGGTGAGAAGCCAGTTTATTTTAGATCTAGCCATTTTGTCTGTGCAGCATGGTTGTATATTCCTGGATTATAGATTAAAAGTCTCAGTAGTCACCTCTGTGAAGAGCAGTGTACCATTAAACATGTCGCTTTATCAGCACTGACTGTCTCTTATTCCTTTTCCTAACCCATTTTAATAGTTCTGGCAGTAACTACTAATTCTGGAACGATGCGATTAATGAATGGGTTTTAGCCCTGTCTTCTAGGTTACTGGAATTGAAACCTGACAATTTTATAAAAGGTCATGTTAACGCATGGGCATTCTTCCCACCTGGCTGTATAATTTTATCATCATAGTTCATATAGAAAATTTGAATGAATTCACATACATGAGAGTTTGCTTACCCACCTTAGGAGAAACATATTACAAAATCATTAAGACTAAAGATTCCAAGGTAACAGTGATTTTTAGTTTCTTTATGCCCTTTAGTTTGGACATTTTCATGTGTTTAGTCCTTACAGCCAAGGGTAGAACAAGGCTGTTTTCTTGTGTTCCAGCTCCATAAAACCTTTAGTATTAATATATTTGTAATTAAAAAGCAGCAGATATATGAAAGCATTTATTAAATCCAAAAAGATAAGTTCATAATATACATGAAAAACTAACAAAGCTCAACTTTGTAGGACAGCTTCTTAGAATTTAAAGTTAATTTAAAACTACAACGAATGTACAACATTCCATTATTCCAGTAAAGCCCCTGTCTGTTTGAACAATGTAATGACAGTTCTTTAGGATTAAAATAAGATTCTGTAGTAGTCATCTCTGTAGCTATACAGGAATAGCACAGACACCCTGCAAAAGAAAGGAAAAGGTAGATTATAAGGACAGACTCAGTTTAATAAGTGAAGAACAGAGTCAATACATTGTTACGACACTTAACTTTAGGAGCTTTGTTTAATCAAAAACAAGATGGAAGGCTAGTCACTAAAAATGACACAGGTTTTACAGAAGGTGTGACTGGCAAGGGTCTGCAGTGTAAGGTCCCACATAAGGAGAACACCATTCACCTCACAGGCTTCCCTGTTGCCTTTTACATGGATGATAACATGAATGACTGGCATTTTGACATAAGCAAAGTAATCACAGTTATTTTCTTTCATTTAAACGTACTTCTAGAAGTGAGTTACCTGGGTGAATGACATTATAATTGGGATATATAGGACCACTGTGTTTTGTTATTGACGACATCGTGACTGTGATTCACAGTCCAAGCAAGAGGTACTAGTTGCCAGATCTGACAACTCTCAACAAGACAACAAAATGTGTGTCACTCTGAAACCCCTCCTGGAATTTTAACCATGTGACACCTGCTATGCCTAAATGATAACTTACTTTTTTTCTACTTTGATGTTATAAATTTCATCACAGACTAATTTGAGGTATCTTTGCTTCGGCAGGCGTGACAGCAGCTGCTTCACAGTTGTGTTAAATGCCTGTTCATCAGCATCCCACTAGGAAAAAGTAGATAACACTTAACAGGGCACTAGGACCGACCAACTGGCTTTTTCTGTGTCAGTAATGAAATTCCAATGCCATTCCCCTTTTCAAGTATGCCAGGAGAATCAGTTATAGGGAGATAGTAGAACTGGTGCCAAGACTGCTGGGGTTATTCCTTTGAAGTGTCAATTTTCTTTAAAATAAGGCTACCTAATTAGAGCCTGATTAATAACACCCCTGGTGTGCTAATATGACTTTTCTGCCTACTGTTTACTTCTTGTAAAATGAAGATATCAGCTGTGTATCCACTTGACTGTCCATAAATTGCCAGTATAGGGGTATATGCTTATTTGTAAGAGAAGAACAGAACATGAAATATTAATTCTGGGGCAAAGTTCATTTTTAATTTAATCTTTGATGAAATCTCTGGATAGACAAAAAAGTATTCTTTGATATGACATTGCAAAAATCACCTATAGCTATTATAGTTAAGTATTCTTTTTTCTTTTTTTTTTTTTTGTAGAGACAGGGTCTTGCTCTGTCACTCAGGCTAGAGTGCAGTGGCATGATCATAGCTCACTGCAACCTTGAACTCCTGGGCTCAAGTGATCCTCCTTCCTCAGCCTCCTGAGTAGCTGGGATTATAGGCGTGAGCTTCCATGCCTGGCTTGAAATTTTTAAAAGTCATTAGAAAAGTATGATTCCTTCAACATAGGATTTAGGAATACGTATGTCACATAAAAGGAACAATGTTACTAAATTCCTGGAGCTGTCAGAAAACTAAGAAAATTTAATGCTGTTTTCAATATTCTTTTGGCAAAGTAACAACAGCAAAGGTCTGAGATCTTAAAGGCTACAGTATAGAAGAGTTCATATTGCTTACCTCTAATGATAAAAACTGTAAGATTGTTTCTTTGGGTAGATCCACCTGTTAATACACAAAAGTGTACATCATCTATCAGGGAACTCACATGTTGACTATGATGGCACTTCAGATGGGGCGGTATGAATAGAGTTGACAGAGTGTGGGATGTTATTGTGCTATAAAACAGACTGAATGGTACAGTGATATGTAGCACTGGTGAACTAATAAGCAGTGGAAACTGAACTTCCATCCCTACACACCACGCCCCAAAGGTCTGACACTGCTACGTGTACTCGGGTATAGGCTTAGTAGGGCAAAGGCCTGAAACATGTAGAAAATGTTGATTTTGGTTGTCATTTCCCCACTCCATATTTGAGAGGAAGAAACAAGAGAAACAAACAAAAACCTTTAATTTCCCCCCCCAGTTCTTTACAGGTTTAGATTAGCACCTGGTTCACATTAGTGACAATAAGGCCTGCATCCAAGTACTGCTGACACTGAGCAAAAAAGCCCTGAACTTGAGGTAACTACTTTGACAGTATGGACAGAGGCGATCTTCAAAACATTAGAGAAAGAAGCAACTTACAGCCAAAATTTCAATTTCACTGCTTTTCTGATGTAAGTTGGCAAGGGAGGTCTGAAGTCGGGTTTGTACCTAACAAGAAAAAAATGGAATTCAGAACATGTTAAACCAAGCCATAGTTCTTGCCATCTTATTTCCTATTCCAGGAAACAATCATAGAGTGACAAACTAAAACTTAAAAAAGATTCCAAATAGTGTCTAAAGATTTGTTCTTAATCCACCTCAGAAAAAGGGGTGTCTAGCTACGATGATCTTGGGGGGAAAAACCTATTTCCCCCCAAGATCATCGTAGCTAGACACCCCTTTGTCACTTATTTCTTTATAATTTTAACATGATACCTAATAAGAACTCAGTATAGTGAAACAGTATACAGAGAAGCAGAGAGATTTTAGTATAAATCAGAAGTAAAGAAAAGGTGGAAGGTGACAGCAATGAGAACATGGAACTGAAATATGGTAGGTGATGAAAGCAGTGGGAAGACAGGAAAAATGAGTTTCCACCCAAATCCTGAGAAATAGCTAGGAGAGTTTACAACAATAAAGTACCTGATCTTTCACATTTCAGTCTAATTACATTTCTAAATGTAATTAGAAATTACATTTAACTCTCCCTTTCCCATCTGTCCATAGCACACTCTTAACACTCATATTCAACATACTTATTAGCATTCTAGTACTTATTTTCTTCTGTTGTTCTCTAACTATATAATGCATATGCTTCTAAGGTTATAAACTTCCTGAGGACGTGGGCCATGTTAATTAATGTCTTTTATATTGTACAGAGCCCTTAGCACACCATCAGGCATGTAGCAGATACCAAAACCATGTAAGGAATGAGAAACCTGCCTTCAGTCTTGTGATCAGCCTCTTCTGCTTTATTATTCAGAGCAAAACCAAACAAACCCAGACTGTCATTGGAGCCAGCTTAGAAAGTTTTCATTTAGATGCAATCATTCTGACAACGGCTGCTTCTAGGTGCCCACAGAGTACACTGGTGCCTCTCTGGGGGACCGATGGGGCCGAATCCTGGCACCAGAGAGATGCTTTGTGTTGAGGAAATTTTCAGAAGCCACCACTCAGGGAAGTGGGAAGAAAAATATTCCAAGAAATTCTATGTTTATTATTTTCCTTTCCTATTTTCTTTCTCTTCTGTCCAAAGAAACCCTGGCCTGGTGTACCTGAGTTTCATACCGCCTCCTAGTGCTGGCTGACAGCTTCTCCGGGGCTATCACACTCACGATGGGAACAACTGTTGCTCCATGGATTTCAAACAAACCTGAGACAAAGAGAGTTTCAGAATTTATGGCCTTATCTTGTTCTATTTTATATAACATACTACACAGAGAGAGCAGAGTTTAGTAGCAGACATCCTGTCACGATTCTAAGGGCCAGATCATGTCTGAGCCTTGTTTTCTATTTCTGCAAGCACCTGCACTTGACCAAGGAGGAGCCCAGAACCCCAATACCCAGCACTGTTGACGCTTCTCTCAAGTGGGGGCAACTTTGTCAGAAGGCACAGGGAGGCCACATGAGTCACCAAAGCCTCATGAACCTAAGAAAAATCAAGCTTGAAATCTCCCAAACTCTAAAACTTTCCTTAAATTCCTCCAAGTAGCTAAAATCTGATGGTGACACAAAGTCAATGCTAACTGAAATGAATGGGACTCAATTATGTTAAAAGACAACTATGTCTTCTTGTGGACTTAATGGAATCCTTCTTTTTCAGTAAGGTTGGTAGAGGTGATGACACTAAAGGCATAACTATCAGCACTGTTCCCTCTTTGCTTTCATGAAAACAGAATTTATATAGTATCTTTTTCCAAGAGATTTCAAAATACTTTTCTTCAATTCTCTGTATGAGGAAATTTTCCAGGAAAAATATCCACATTTCATCTATATAATAAACTGAGTAAAATGAAGATTAAACTACTTGTAAAAATAAGACAGAGATATACCAGAAAAATCACCTAAATTATAGTAGTTTTATCATTTTCTAGGATGTGGGTTTCAAAGCAAGGGGATGAATTCTTACATGGTACAATTTATTATATAAATGTTATTTCAAAAGATATTTCCAATGTCACAAGCAGTTAGCCACAGTAATAAGTGCTTAGAGCAAACATACACACAAGCATTATCATGTTCAGATCATAATTAGTAATTATACCTGAAGCATTAGAAAATGACCCCTTCAGATTTTGTACTGCAAGA